GTGTAGCCATCTTGAATGTCATAGCCGAAAGAGTATTTTGGTGCTGGATCATAGGGTTCAGGGGCAGCCGGTGCTGGTGCTGGTGCTGGATGGATAAGGAACGAAGAAAAGGGTATTCACTTTTTGCGTTCAAATACAACTTTATATAAAACTGAATAGTAACTTACCTGGTGCTACATATGGCCCTGGAAGTGGTGCATGAGGTGCTGCATAGGGTGCATAGTGTAGCGGTCTAGCGCCGTGTGGTCCATAATGTGCGGCATACGGGCCAATGACACCACCATGGGTTAAAGCAAATGTTGCTGTTATAAAGAGTATCTGAAAATAAAGAAGGTTACATACTAAGTTTACTTAAAGTTGAAAGTAAGAATTGGAAGACAAACATAGAGATATGCCAGTTTGGGCATTTTTTTCCGAATTAAAAGCTCAAGGCATAGTTACACATAGTAGTTCCGAGAACAAGTTATAAGCTCAGTTGCACCGAAAATATTTTGAGCTATTACCTAATGATGGGTTAATTTAAGTTAAGTGGCAGCCCAAAGAGGGACTCACTTAGACATTAGAATTATATACGTGTGAAGTTAGGAATATTTTTGGGTGCTCAAAATAAAATATGAGTTGAAGTGTTTAAACATGTCTAGTGAAAACCAAGCCGCTAAGGAAGAAGTGCTGAGCTGATTTCACCTCGTACTGTAGACAGCTGTGACAGTAGGGACCCGTAATGATATTAAATCGCATCGCACGGGTTACCAAAGACCGTTGTACGATCATTACATCTGTAAGAATTCAAAGACGGCGTTTACCCCTAGAAAATCTTAGTCAACCACTGGCCAAAAATACTTCGCAACTTTACATGCCAAGGCATTTGTAAAGCGATGGCTGAGCCGACCGTAAGCCCATGTAACCAGGAGTGGTACGAAAGTTGCAAAAAAAATTCCATGCGCTCCCTCACCGTGGAGATGACTACAAGGGTACCGTATGTAGCCAATTAGACAGCTCTTCAATATCCGGCATTATCACTGTATCCAGGAACCCAAAACAACTTGCATGTAAAAAACCCTTAGGCAGGTGCGATCGTGCAATGAGCGATCCAAGGGCCTTGAGTACCGTTCTAACCCGTAATACACTGATGCGTAGGCATTTGGCTGGCTATTTTAAAGCTGCCACCTCTGCCTGATGGACGGTGCAGAAATCCTGAAACCCGAACCTAAGACAAATACTGAAGCTGTGTTTTAAGGACATTTTTGTGCTTATTACGAATTTGGAAGTATAAAGTTTCCAACAGGCACAGATTTAGAGAAAAACGAGGTAAAAAGATGATATAACCTTCCAATTAGCCTTAAATTAAAGCTACAATCTCCTATCCCTGAAAATACCATCCCATCCCCTGTCATGTATTGAACAATAAAAAAAAACTGGAAAATTATGCTACTATAAAACAAAAAATTGCGCCAAAATCAGTTTTTGCTGTTCAAAAAATTACCTTAGGGTTAAAGTGCAGGGATGGTATTTTTAGGGATTGTAGTAGAAAGTCCAAGCCTAAATTTAAGCCTAAGTGGAAGGTTCTACCACCTTTTATTTATTCAACATGAAACTACCTTTCGATTGATGTATGTATACATAAATCTTTATACCTTAAAAGTAAAGTTTAGACGCAAAAGCGATGTAAAGAAAACACGTTTGCTTTTTTATGTATGTACATATACATAGGTCATTCCAGCGAGGACGGTGCCACAGATAAAAAAAAAATTAAGTGCGTCTGGACCACACTGGAGAAGTGAAACTTACGTTACATACATATCTATTTTGTCTCATTACCAATATACACAGATACATATGTACATACATACATACATGTGCCTTTGGTTAAGGTTACCTTTTTTGTCTTTTTTCTATCTAGATCCCTACCTCTACCCCTGTTCGTTCTAATTACATTTATGTTATTCTGTTTTCCTTTATCTTCATTTTTATCTTTATACTCTATCGTTAACAAAATCGATAGTAAATCCAATAAAATACTGATAACAAAACCGATAAAAATAGCGATAACAAAATCGATGAAAAATTCGATAAAAAGTTCGATAGCAAAATCGATAATAATATTGGAAGCAAAATCTATTAGAAACTCGATAAAAATATCCATAACAAAATCGACAAAAATATCTATAACAAAATCGATAAATATCGATAGCAAAGTGAATAAATATCGACAACAGAATCGATAAAAATATCGATAAAAAACAGATAAATTTCGGTAACAAAATCGATAAATATCGATCAAAAAATCATTTCCGTTGCACCATTTCCGTGTGCAATTTCCGTTGAATTTGCCAATTTACTCCCAACCAACCAAACGCCGCTAAAGAAGTTTAACTTCAAAAAAAAAATGTAATGTTTCGGAATGAAAATATACTCATCTTTTCCCACTTCATACAAGTAAATGCGTGGTATTTATTAAAAACAAAATTTTTGCCAAAATCAATAAACTGTATCTGTAATAATATAAACCGTAGAAATTACTAAAGATTTTATAAAATATTTTTGCATTAAATTCAAACTCTCTTTTGTAAAGTTTGTGTTACCTTGCACTTAATAAACATATTTATTTATATGCTTTTGTGTGTTTTGTTTTGTTTGTTTGTGCTTTGAAACTTAGAGTACAACTTCACAAAATGTTTTTCATGCGTTCAGAATTGTATTCTTAGGGTTTTGATGGCCTTTTTAAACTATTCACAAGTTAGAGCTCCCTTCACGTGGTCAAAAAGGCTTAGCCACCTTGCTCTCCAAGGCTTTTGCCCAGCGCACGCTGAGCTGACTTA